GGAAAAGCGTGGCAATTCGAATCCCATCCATCATTGAGGCCGCTGGTGGATTGGATAAGATGATTGATAAGAGAACCGTTCGTCTTAATTAGTTAATGACACTTTCAGGCGGCTGAATTTAAATATACGATCGGAGTTCGGGGAGCTGAGTGGATGGTTTTTATTTCTTCTTCAAGCGAGAGCCTTATGTTAAATTGAGGGTGCGAAAAGTTCTTTCTCGTATTTCAAATTAACGAGGAATATTCTTATAAAGTCTCGGTTTTTGCGTAAAACTATTTTTTCACAATGGGTCATAGACCTTGAAAAAAATACCACGAAAGTTGGGAAAACCTCAAGTTATATTCCGTGCTATTCGTATAGAATTATACGTTCGAAAATACTGTACACTTAATTGGTCAAATTTAAACCTTTGGAACTTCTAAAAAATTCTGATATGCACGCTGGTGCTTTAAATTTTTTTAACATTTTTAACTGGGTCAAAAGCTTTCTTATCGCACATTTCTTTTAATATTTAAGATGTGTTCTGACATTTTCTAAGTGCTATGCAACAATTTGTAATGAAAAAACACGTATTGTTACAATAGTTCTTACTCATTCTATTGTCCAATCGGCTTATTGTATTAACTAACCCGCCAGAACGAGGGTGTATATAGAGTACGTACACACACACGTCAAAAAAGTTTCTACACTTGCCTTCGCGTGAATGTGACAAAACGAATAAGATTGTCTTGTAGTTTTTATTCGTGTCCAGCATGACGGTTCACTATGCTGACGTGCTAAGGAAAAACGCCGTATAAACCTTCAGGCGTTGCCAAATTTCCATTCATAAAACACAAATTTCCTGGTAAACTTATGAATTTTTTCCTTCCAATTTTTCAAATAACATTGGTTGCAATTTGAGATGTTTCCAAGATAGGGATTTATCGATCAAGTTCATTCGACAACGATTCAACAACCAATCCACAGATTGAAAAAGCAGGTTTTGGAGTGAGTTTTTTCAAGTAGGTGTCAAAGAGGGCGTCCAGTTAAAAATTGGATGAATTAAACACAAAAAGAGATGGGAAGGTGAAAGGTCTCAGAAAATCTATAAATCTTGGCAGATTCCAGTAGCAATTATGTGTCGTGGAGCGCCCAATTTTTTCATCAATTTCATGAGAATAACTCAGCAGAGTGTACAGACGTTTCTAAATCATGAGTTGAAAAACGCAGTCTTCGTGAGTTTAAATATTAGAGCTTAAAACACAGCAGCGTGCTGCCAGCGCGTAACGCGCGCTGGCGCCTACAAACCTGACAGGGATACTTCACGCATCGCGCAATGCGTGAAGTATCCCTGGTTAGGTTTGTAGGCGCTGGCCGCTTACCCGCCGAGCCGCAGTGTGCCACGGCGCCTCAAGCAACTATTTCGCAACAGAGGTGTTGCACAGTATCATGCAAAATTGAAGGCGCTCCAGCATATTATGAATGACCGGCATTCTTTAAGAGTACGGAGCTTTCCTCGCAAAATAAATCAAGTTACGGAAGGCACAAAAAGAGAGCGGTAATCCAAAAGCTCACACTAAGTCCTAGCATTTCATTTAATAACTTTTAGGATAATTTTTGAATTTCTTTTGAGAAAAAAGTGTCTCAATTTAGGCAGGAACATTCTTGACTATGGCGTCAAGAAGATTTTATTTTGAAACCTAATATAATAGCAGAATGAAAGCTGATTTTTTCTTAAAAATCACACTTTCCTCGCGAGCTTTCCTCGCCAAATAAATCAAGTCACTCCGTTTAAACCTTGAGTTAGGTTGGGTTCCTGTGTTTTTGCTAAGCGATTCTCTACTCAACCAACGGGGGTTTAAACTCAACCAGGTTTAAACGGAGGAAAACAATGTTGCTAATTTGCTGGATCTGCCAATGTCGCGAACCGGCGATCAGTTAGCGGGGCCTCCGCGAAATAATTTTCGCGTAACGGCTGGGAGCAGCTGATCAGTAGTCGGCAAATATTTAGCCGGCACCCGCCCGAAACGGCGCGTCCGAAGGAGCTTGATCGAGCGCGGTCGCGGCAATTAATCACGCGAGACCGCGGTTCGGGCGACGGATTATCGGTCGGCAAGGGTGGCATTGAGGTCAGTTATTTTCGGGAGGGTCGGGGTAGCCAGCAACCCCTCCCCCCCTCCCCTGGTCCATAATAGTGAGATCCGTTTGGGAGCCAGACGCTCTGGTCCTTATCATTTTGGGGTAGCTGACCAGCGGGCTGATTGTCAAAAACACGGAGTTCCCTCGCAAATTAAATCGAGTGACGATGAAAAAAAGAGAGCGGTAGTCGAAAAACTTACTAAGTCCTGGTATCTGTATTCAAAAAGTTTAGCACGATTTTTGAACTTCATTAGAGGAAAAAGTGACTTGATTTAAGCAGAAATATGCTCAAATTTACCGCCGAGATTTCCGTATGAATCAACAAAGAAAATAATGCTTATTGAAAGAAAAAAATATGCTCATATGAAAAGAAGTCACTCACATCAAGAAAAAATCAGCTTTCATTATTATGCTTCGAAATAAAATCTTCTTGAAGGCATACTCAAAAATGTTTCTGCTTAAATTGAGGCACTTTTTTCTGTAAAGAAAATCAAAAATTATTCCAAACGTTATTAAATGAAATGCTAGGACTTAGTGAGTTCTTGGACTATAACGCTCTCTTTTTGTGCCGTATGTTGATTTATTTTGCAAGGACAGCTCCGCACCCCTAAATGATGCCCGTCATTCTTAATATGTTGGATCGCCTTCAATTTCGTATGCTACTGTGCAACACCCTTGTTGTGAAATAGTTGCTTGAAGCGCCGTGGCACGCTGCGGCTCGGCGGGCGAGCGGCCAGCGCCTTCAAACCTAACAAGGATACTTCACGCATTGCGCAATGCGTGAAGTATCCCTGTTAGGTTTGTAGGCGCCAGCCCGTAACACGCGCTGGCATCACGCTGCTCTGTTTTAAGCTCTAATATTTAAACTCTCGACGTCTGCGTTTTTCAACTCATGATTTTGAAACGTTTGCACACTTTGCTGGATTATTCTCGTGAAATTGATTAAAAAAAAAATTGGGCGTTCTACGACACATACTTACCACTGAAATCCGTCAAGGTATATAGATGTTTGGAGACCTTTTGCCTTCCCATCTCTTTATGGATGCAACTCTTTGAATTGTGAAGTTGAAAGTGTATTTCAGACTCTCTCGATGCACTCATAGTGGCTTTCAAGCCATTTTCTATAAAAACCACTCTTTTTTTTACAGTAACTGAAGTTTGCAACGCACTGAAAAAAATGGTATGCTGTTTTAGCACCTAAGATGATGTGATCCTAAGATGCTGCCTTGATTGTCCACGCAGTTGAATTTGCATTTACAGAATGAAAAGTTAATTGCGGGGGCAGTAAAGCCAGCATATTGGGATTACTGGGCAAATTTTTTAAATCGTATGTGTTAAAACAAAATGTCATTTTTTTCAGTGCGGGCTCATTTTATCCAGAACTAGTTGAATGAGGCAAGCATTGGAGTCTATGCAAGATTTTACTCTTTTGATATTTGCAATTTCAATGCAAGCGATAGAAAATCACGCTCAGTAGGAAAATTGAATTGGGCCTCATAACAATTGTCAGGGGTCAAAACGATTTCCGCCGCCATTTTCTCTTGATTATCGATTCTCCTACTGAATTGTATTTGAATTTGTTTACTGAATAAGCCACTTATCGAACGACGACAAAACTTCGGCGCGAAGTGCCACTACTCAACGGAAGTTAAACTTCCGCTGTTTCCTCTAACTGTGTTGCCACAGAGTAAACCGGGGTAAACAAATTTATTCCCCGAATTTTCGTCACTTTTGGCAGACGCCAAGATTTGCGCCAATTCGCACCGTAGATTGGTTGAGTAGAAAATCACTTAGCAAAAACACAGGTGAATCAAAACCGTTATCACTAATTACAGGGTTGCCATGGAATTTAGAAAATAAAATTCCCTGACATCTCCCTGACACATTTCGGTGGAATTCCCTGACAATGGGCCTGTTGCATGCAACAGATACAGCCGTGGGAATAGACTTTTTAGAGGTTAAATGACACGAAAATTACGATGGTCACATTAAAAAAGTCTGAAATACACTCCTTACTGCGCAATTTGCGTTGTTAGGAACGCGCTATTTCAAATTTCCCGCGTCTGGGGGCAGTTTTCTAACGGAAACAATTAACGGCAACTCGCGGCTATTTCCGGTCAACTAAAACTGACAACATAACCTAAAAATCGGAGCTCGTGATATCGTGAAATGAAATGAAGAAGGATTGCGTTGGATATTTAAAAGTTGATCGATTTGGTTACCGCATAAAGCGTATATGGACCACTATAGGAGATCACGTTGGGTTTGTGAACAAACTGAAGGAAAAAATAACAACAACAACAACGACTCGGCATCTTCCGGAAATAACCGAGCCCGCCGTTTGCTCGTTTCCGGTGATTAGAAAACTGCCCCCAGACGCGGGAAATTTGAAAAAGCGCGTTCCTAACAACGCAAATTGCGCAGTAAGGAGTATATTTCAGACTTTTTTAATGTGACCATCGTAATTTTCGTGTCATTTAACCTCTAAAAAGTCTATTTGCGCGGCTGTATCTCTTGCATGCAACAGGCCCATTGAAGATGTGACATATGGTTAAGAAGGCATAATTGAAAATAGATTTTAGGCAAAATTTGGTGTTCAAAATCTCAAACCTATTTTAGAATGCAAATGAAGGTGACATTTTCGTCATTTTCCCTGATATGTATTTCCCGATTTTCTCTGATTTTTTAAAATTCCTTGATATTTCCCGGGCTTCAGATTCCGAGGTGCAGATTCTGGTGCTCATGAAGTCACGCTGAAGAAAACGTTTTTATTTTAAAAACTCTCCAGAGTTTTTCTTTCTTACATTTTCATTAAAAAGCAAACAAATAAATTACTTTCAACTTGCGGCAAAAAATTCCCCTGAATTGACAAAGTTACTCACCGTCAAACTGTTTCTTCTTTGGAGACTGCTGAACGAGCCCCTTAATTTCCCGCCACGCTTGTCGTCTATCTCTGAATAGGAGACTCGCCATGTCATTTGAGCAATTTCCGCCTCCAGTTTGTAGTGCCTGCACAGAAAGACGACATCACTTTGATTCAACCACTTTAACAGATTAAGTCAAAATATAAGCACAGAAAAATTCAGTAGAATACAACACTAGCACTTACTTACACTAGTTTCTTACATTATTTAAAGTAGTTCTCGACTGAAAAGCGTATAATTACTCGAATTGGGTTTCGACAATTTCACGTTTTAAAGATAAAACGAGCTGAAATTTTTAATATGCTTCATATAATTTCGAACAGGTTGATAATTTTATATAGGCTGAAGGCGGAATTTAGAACTATTACCATGCAGAGAATTTAAGCCTTTTTGTGGCATTTGTCAAAAAATGTATATTAGTCCTCTCCATGGACCTCAAAATAGTCTCGAAAAAGGGTTCTTTTGTCCTTTTTGTAAGAGTTCGTAAATTTCGCAGATTTTGGTTTGCACAAAGTAATGATAATAAATGTAAATTTTCAAAATATTTTGAAGTTATTTTTAAGACATCGGCAGAAGTGCTCTCAAAACTCTTACATAACCCCTCTATGTAAACGTTTGTAAAATACTGTACAGATATTTTCAGGTCATGTGCGTTGGAATTAAAAAATTAAAAACATTAACAATAACTTCGCAATATGCGTTTGTATGATTTTTTTAATTATTTAGAAAAATCTCAGAAAATACTCAATCATATTCCTAATGGAATACTTTTGAGGCAATATTTAACCAGAATGACAACAAATGTTTCAAGATATCAATGTCTAACTGGAACAGGACTGAAAATAATCCATCTAATAAGACGAGTCTCTTTAAAAACTTTTCGAGCTTTTTTTCTTTAAAAGCTCGAGCTTGATACTAGATTCGATGATACAACGATGAGAAGTTTCCATTCTTCATAATTAAAAAACGCCTTTTAAAATTGCTACAAAATTTCCGACGCAATATCGCCAAAACTAGCTTTGAACTCGAGCTGAAAATAATAACGGAGGCCTCTCTCATTATGATGTTTCGCTTTAACTACATTTCAATTAATGCCCTTGGGTTTCCGAGAAAAGCGGCAAATTTTTTAGAGACTCTTTCCAGTTCCAATTGAACTCAAAAGTAATTGGACTGTTGTGACTAGACGCAGTCTAATTATATCAGAGGTTGCCTCCTCTCTCATTTTATTTATTTCATAAAAACTAAATACAATTCTGACTTTGGTTTTGCGTTAAAATCTAAGTAATTAGGCTGATTCTGCCTCAACCGGCCCTATTTCTTGAAATTGTTTGCAAAGATTTAAATAGCCTCTTAGAGACTCAAAAACACTTAAACGTTACGAATCCCAAAAATAATGTACCCGAGGTACACGTTTGTGTACGAATTTTATATCAAAAGCTCAACATTTGACACCAGTTTTTTTTTAAAGTATTACCAGTAAAAGTTTACTTTTGCCAGTTTTTAAATGAAAAAGATTCAAGTGATGGCGCATGTACTAGAATGGTATCATTTCCCATAAGGCAACACGCTGTGTGTCAAGGTGCATGTTACATCGGGGAGGGGGGGGAGGCGGCTGGAATAGGCGCATTCTGATAACTAGAAGTGCCCAAAAAGCTAGACGTGGCACCGAGGAATAACTTAAACGTTGATTTCTCGCTAATCGTTGTTAAGTGGAACGCGCAACCGGGCTAGTTCCACATTTCCACCTCCGTGGTTGCTCCGAGATATGATTACGACGATGATTAGACTAATGCATTTCCCGCCACTTGTACCTGTTTAACTGCAGCATAAATATTTCATCCCATTTCGTCCCTGTTCTGCGCGTCCCTTGGCGGCGCGGCGTACAGTGGACGAGTCAATGGGTGAAATGAGACATATATGGCGTGGCATCTTTGAAAGCTTTTAAGCGATTCAATGCGGCGTAAGCATGATCGCTTCTTCCAATCAATAGATCGTTTTTGATAGTGGTTCGATGTATCGTTTGGTTCAAAACAATAGAATATAACCTCAAACAAAAATTTCAGGATTTAATTTGGAAAAGCTGAACATGATAAAATTCCCAACAATTTCACTTTTCATTGCCATTTGATACTCGAAAGAATAAAGATTCGATCACAAAAGACTCGTTACCTTAAATTTCTATATTGACTTATGAGGCTATGTTAACGAATGGAACCAATCGATATCGAAACAATCTCACCTGTCTGATGTATCGAAAACGATCTATTCACTACTCTGAAGATCTATGGATTACCTATTTGATCAAAGCAAAAATATCGCTATCTATAGCATACTTCAAACGGTCCGTTTCTGTTGAAATACTTCTGGAGGATAGAACAGTTCAAATGAGCAATTTTTAAAAAAATCGAGCTCATTTCAAGCGCATCTCATTTTACTTTTCGGTAATTATTAATGAAGAAACAGTTTTTATACGTGTTCAAAGTTTTATATTCTTTTCTTTTTTTAAGAAAATATGACCCGGGTTTTGCATAAGTTACGTGATGAAATTGTTAATATTCCGCATTTTGTCATAATCTTCTCTACAGATTTAAGGAGCCGATTTTCATGGTGTTCACCATTTTGCCAAGTATCAACCATTAGATAAACCAGTATTCTTTCGAAATTGTAAATCGCGTTGTTTTTATATTTCGATAAAAGTACTCTGCCCTTACAAGAGAAAACTGATAAGTTACAATAGGTTTGACATTGCTCGATGTTATATTCTTCATTACTGAAAATAATAATTGCTCCTGTTCTAAAAGTATGTGACTAATCCATACCCTTCTCTTGAGAAAATAAGCGAATATAACCGTACGATACGTCTTTGGTCCGTAGCTCACTTGACAGACAACGTGAAATTGGTTATAACGCCTTGATGCAACTATACGTGCCTCATGGATCTCCGGGTTGCAGATACAAAAAATTTAAGGCGCTTTCGATTGATTTCCTCAGGTTCACAAGAGGACTGGCGCTGGGGAATGAAGCATTCCTTTTGGGGGGGGGGCTGATCTCACCGGGAGGAGATAAAATATTTCAGAGTCTTAACTCTAGCAATTGTTCTGGTTTTTCTGTCAGCGGGAAATTCCATAATTGGCTTCAGAAATGAAATTTTTCGACTCGAAATCGTTTTCAAGTCACTGGTCTGTAAAAATTGAAGACGCAAGTTCTAAAAGTAAGATAGCAGGAAGCATCCCTCAGGTTGAAGTTTTCTTCCGTCGCGCTGAATTGCAACGTTCTGAAAAAGCCTCTCTGAGAAATGATAAAAAGTTTTTAATTCCTTTCTGAACATACAAACACCATCGAGTAACCGATTTTAGGTAGTAATCTTAACAAGACCGTTGAATCTTCCTGGAGTGATATTTCTGAAAGAGGTGGTGTGACTCTTTTTCCGACGAAATGGGAGAAAGCGGTTGCTGAGTTTTGTAGGTTTATTTACCCACGTTTTTTTCATTTATGAATTCAATTTTGTCAATGATGATCTTTAATTGGAATTTTAGGACGAAATGAAGCGAGTTCAACAGAAAAAACTGAATCGTGTCAAATTTAAACCGAGAAAAAGCGGTTTATGAGGTGTTTTTCCTCAGCAAATAAATTTGAAGGAAAAATACTAAATTTAACGACGATTTCTTTTTGTCTTTTAACTTCTCATTAGAGACAATATACGACTAGTTCATTCAAGATTACCCCGTAGTCATCTCCCTCCGAAATGATACTTGGTGCGTTTATGTTACACTCGGCCGAAGCACAAATTTTGAGCAGATTGAACCTGGTTTGTAAAGCAAGTTTTCCGTCAGTTTGAGCAAAGTTTGAAGATTAGTTTTGATTAACGTAAATTGAAATCAGTCGGATTACATTAACTAAGAATTTTCAGAATTTAAATTTGAAAACTTTGGTCCTTCCTGCGCAACATTTAGGACTTTGCTATAAATTGAGATTTTTTAGCGTAAGGAGTGGGGCCAAATGGCCTTGAGGCCTTCCTATTTATTTGTCGTTGGGTATTTTCGTGAGGAGTAAAAAAATAATGTTTGGATCGGTGTGAAGAATTTCTTGTGACTAATGTGGTGAAATGTTTATCGAACACAAATCTGGAAAGATTATTTCGCTCGCGCGAGAGAGAAGAGAACATCTTCATGAAAACAGTCGGATGTGAGAGCTGAAGAGTTGTATTTTCCAAATAAAGTCGAATCGCATGGACGTTCTACGAGGGAAACAAAACAAACTTTGTTTTCCTGTCAGGTCATTGAATTTTTTGCGAGCTTCTGCGGACTAGACGAGAGCTGAAGTCTTTGGAAAGAATTGTATTCAGCTTTGTTACAGAATTGCATCGATATTTTTCTTAAGTATCCAAGGGCTAAATCGAAGTCTTGGGAAAAATGGAATAAAAGTGGACCATGTGGCGCACATTTGATCTGTTGAACTTTTTTTTAATAAATGTATTCTTTAGAGGCATATATATTTCGAACTCAAAAGATTGAGGGCACACCGACTACAGCGCAGTTTCCCCGTTTTTCTCTAAACTTAGATTTTAGCGCTTGCTGCCCCCCTCCCCCTTAAATCGTTTAATTTTCCTATATCTACTGTTTTATGAAATTTCAGACTTTCAGACTCCAAGTCAACGTTAAAAGGTCAACGATTTGACACAGTGGTAGAGATGAGAGAGTTCCCCCATGGATCTGGAGAGCCTTTAAAGTTAGAAAAAATGTCAGCACTGCACTTTAAGACAGATAAATTAACCATCTACCGAAACATTTAGCAAATTGCCTACTTTGGCTAATCGTCTGTGACAAGAAACCTCGAATCGTCCAGTGGCTATGAAGGTTTTTCCGGGCGGCAGACACTTAAGAATCGAAATGGCAATACTTTTCTTTTATAGGTAGTCTACTTGAAGCTTGAGCACACAAAAAATCAACAGCACGTCTGCCCCAGAGAAATTGCTAGAAAAATGGTTTCGCTATCGAAACGCGGAAAAAGCTCCTCATTCAACACTCCATAAGTGGACGTATTTACATCCATATCCATTTCGGCTTGAGCTCTATTATGCATGTA